GCTGGGAGCCAGGGTCGTCCCGGGTGCCCGGTATCGCCCCGCGTCCCTCGCCCTGAGCAGCAGGAGAGGCGGCGGGAGGTGCCCCCCCAGGTGGGGGCCTGGGGGCTGCTGCCCGAGGTGGCGTGGGCACTTGTGCCGGGCCGGGGCGGCTCACCCCCGGGGCAGCGCGGGGCGCTGGGTTTTTGGAGGAAACAGTTGCCGACTGTTGTGCTGTAGTGGCAGATTACAATCTGTGTGGAGGCCCGAGCCTCCTGCCCCGGACCTGCGCTGCAGGTTTGGGAAGATCTTTGGAGATGGGCTGCTCTGAGGTCTGTGACTCCCCAAGGACCTGCAGGTGACTCATAGATGGACTCTTGCTTTGTGTGCATCAATATTTCACTAGTGTTTCCTAGATCCTGCTGCTACTTCACAGTCCCTGGTGACTGCGCTCATGTAAAGCCACCCTGCTGCCTGAACCTGTCCCCAGGCCTGTAGCTGGCACGCTGTGGTCATAGTGAGCAGCTAGCTGACTCCTCTCAAATTCAGCTCCTATCCTGTAGTAACAGGCTCTTGTAACAGCTGTGCCTGGCTAGTGATGTGTGAAAATATTACCTTGGGGCATTGGTGTTTCTGACGATCATGAACTTAATTACAAAACTACAGAGAGGAGTGTGGTTCTTAAAGCTCCATTTCTGACACATACAGACAGCTTGGACATGAAAGATACAGTAAAAGCATACATGGATGTTGCTGACTCCTGTATGTTACTGCTCTGGCTGACTGACTGTCACAGGGATACAGTAGAGAAAAAGTGATTTATAGACAACAGGAATTGCTAGTCAACAGTAGGGACTAGGGTCTGTGCAGAATTCATAGCAAAACGTAAATGCTGTCATCTTATATAGATACAGGTGAAAAGAGTCCTTGTCTTTTTCTACTTTACCCCACCAATATTAGTATATTCAAGTGTTACATTAACAGCAGGGTTTTTTAAATTTTTTACCACAGATGTCAGTCATCAGGTGATCTGTAATTCTTTCCAGGGCTAATTCTGTGCATGTATTCTCTCTAATAAGGCTTTTAACTGCACATGTTGGTCCCTCTGTGTCTTTATTTTTCAGCTCTTAATAACAGAACAGTTTTTCTTCTGCAACACATTCTTGTGATATGTTTGATCCTCTTAGCTGAGCACTACTTTCTTACTCAATCACTGGAAAGAAACTTGCTCCAAGTGGTCATCTACAAGAGCTTGGCTTCTTAGCCCATGCACCCCATCAGCTAACTTCTACAGACTGTGCCTTTACATGTGTTGCTGAGAGCTGATAGTTTCCACAAGGCCTTTTAGCTTGGCTGACTGGCTGTGGTGCTGCATAAGTTAGAACTGCATTCCCTAGAGTTGATAAAGCCATTGCCATCCTGTACAGTTTCAGTGACTTTGACTAACATAACTAAAATTGGACTATGGCCTAGCGTTCAGGAAGAGGCAGGGTAAGTTATTCAGACTGTAACTGTTCTTCTTCAGACAAGTAATTTGTTTGGGTTGCTATACTGAATGGTTGTGTTGCACAGAGTTACAGCAAATGCATAGGAAAAAGAAAAGAGTGAGAAAGGATTTCCATCTGTCTTATGTGGGTTTTGTTTGTTTTTAAATGGCAGATGCTTTCTTTACCTGTCGAAAGAATGTGCTTCTGGCGAAGAGCACGTCCACCCAGATAGAAGGCGTCTTTGCTGCGACCAGAGGAAGGTCGGCCCCAGAAGAGCAAGAAGCCCTTCTCCAGCAGTGGCTGGAGGACGGAGCAGGGAATTTGCCAGCCAGTGAGAGTGTCCCAGCAGTGGGGAAAGTATCAGTTACGCTCACTAGTGACTGGTTAGAAGGTTCAGAGCTATTGATGACTAGCCTCAGTGACCTGAATTCGGCTCCAGGAGTCACCCGGTGTGCTGGTCAGCAGCTCACAGAGCTACATGCCTTGGCTTCTTCAGAACTGCAAGATCATGCAGTGACTGAACAGGCAAAATTACCAGCAGAGGAGACAGTGGCTGCAGCAGGCAGTGCCCCCTGGGCAGCTGTGGTGCCACAGACGGATCACCAGACAGCTGGCTGTGCCACTATTGATGTAGAAGTGCAGAATGAAGACCCAGCTGTGCTGGCCTGGAGTTTAGCTCGTGATGCAGAGACAGTGCCAACAGAGCCCCCAGCCTGGCCCATTCAGGATACAGTACAATTTTGTCCTTTCCCGGCAGAGGTACCCTACCATGGTCAGTAGTAACAGCTCTGAATCTAATGTTCGGTTTGAGATTTACATTTGTAGTGAATGTGGTCAGGTTATTGTGTCTGGGCTTGCTGTCACTAAGACATTGATTGTATTTGTCCATGCAGAATTGACAGGATCTGCTAGTGTAAACTATAAAGTGAGTTTTTGCTGAGGGAGGGCTGGTCACAGCTAGTAGTCTCTGTGCTATTAGACCGTGTGGTCTGAACATCAATATATGTTCATTTCCCAGGAACTGTTCCCAAGTGCTGGCTTTATAATATCAAAAGCACCCAAAAGCTGGTCGAGTGTTTCACTGTGCTTGACTCTGGTCTTCTGTTATGCCATCCCCATTGACAACTATCCAAAGGCATCCAAAAAGAGCACCTGAAAACCAGAGTGGGTGAGGGTTTGCTCAGAGGCTAGAACACCCTAGCGTAGAGAATGAGAGTGGCTATTTTCTGGGTCCCAGGGGAACAAAAGTATCAGCAGGGTACCCAGCATGGCTGTAACTTGGCTTTTTTTCTCTTGCATATAGAGATTTTATGGAGAGACTGGGAGGATCTTTCTGTCCAGCCCTGTGTGCTAGAGCAGGTCTCAAAAAACACTCCTCTCTTTGAATTTCGAGTCATGTCTTACAACATCCTTGCCCAGGACCTGGTGGAGCAGGGCCTTGATCTCTATCTACACTGTCATCCAGACATCCTGAACTGGAACTACCGCCTTCCAAACCTTTTGCAGGAGATCCAGCACTGGGATCCTGATGTGAGTATGACTGAGGCCTTCCCTCATCAGCGTCACTGGAATTTGAATTCCTGTTTGATCTAACAGCATTTAAAAAAAAAAAAAAAAAGATGGGGGGAAGTCCTAAGAAGATACTACCTGCTTGGTAACTGAACACCGATTCCTCTGAGAGTGTTTGAGGCCTTGTGCATATGGGGTTTTTTGTGTCTATCTTGCTTTGATTGTGTTACTGTAGAAACTAGTCATACTTTGATAGCAGGGCGGCTTAACTTCTTTAAAGAGCAGAAGTAGAGGAAGAAGAGATAATGTATGTTTGGGGAGGAAAGGACCAGGTTTATAAGGCAGCACAGGAGGGGAAGCCTGCATAGGAGAGGACTTCATGACTTTCTCTATTCCTTGAGTCCTCTTTGTGTGATGAAGGATCTTCTGCCTCATCACTGGAAAACTGAATGATAAGCTAATGTGACCTAGAAAATTATTCTCTATCTAGAAAGTACAGGCCAGAGTTGCAGCGATGACCCTTCTGGTTGCAGGGTTAGTAGTGAGTGCACTTTTCCACTTTCTCCCTTCCCCCAAACAAGGTAACTAGCAAATACTGGTGGAGTGAGCAAGGTCTCTGCTTTCCTTCCAGGTTCTGTGTCTCCAGGAGGTGCAAGAGAACCATTACTGGGAGCAGCTGGAACCAACATTCAAGGAGATGGGTATGTCCTGCTTTTATGTGTCTGTACCTCCAGCTCATGGGACTGGCCAAGCAGTGCTTCCTGCTTAACTTCTTCAAAGCACTCGGTCTTGAGAGAGCTCTTCCTGTTTGTCGGGTGGCTGCTGGCCCTACTTCTGAACTGTCTGTCTAGACCTTTACCCTTTCTTTTGTAATTGATCTTTCTCAGAGTTGACATATCAGAGTAACAAAACTGAGAGGGTCCTAGAAGGACAAGGAGAGAGAAAATACCCTCAATGATAAATGATAAACTGTGATTATTGGAACAAAATTGGGTATAATGCCGTACCCAAATGTAGTAGGAACCCCTTCTGCTACACAGACTTGCTGAACTCCCCAGCTGATGGGCGTAGACTGAGGTAGTGACTGGATAAACCTTTTAATAGGTGATGGTTTCTTTTCAGGCTTTGCATGCTTCTATAAACGGAGAACTGGGACGAAGACAGATGGCTGTGCAGTGTGCTATAAGCACAGCAGGTTCCAGCTGATCAGTCTCAGCCCCATAGAATACTTCCGGCCTGGCCTGGACGTTCTCAATCGGGATAACGTGGGCTTGGTGCTGCTGCTACAGCCTCTGCTCCCGGAGGGCCTAGATCTGAAGGCAGTCAGTCCTTTGTGTGTGGCCAACACTCATGTGTTGTTCAATCCCCGGCGGGGAGATATCAAACTGGCCCAGATGGCCTTGCTCCTAGCAGAGATCGACAAGATTGCAAAAACTGCTGAAGGCAGCTACTATCCTGTCATCTTGTGTGGAGACCTGAACTCTGTACCTGATTCTCCACTCTACAAATTCATCCGGAATGGTGAACTTTCCTACCATGGGATGCCAGCCTGGAAGGTAGGTGCCAGCCAGAACTGGGATTGGGTAGCTCTTTATTGCATGCTGCTGGAGAAATGCATGGCTGCATTCTTTCTCTCATGAGAAAATAGTCCGAATATTGAGTTCAGTTATTCAGCAATCTTTCCTAATGCCTCCAGCACCGCTGAGGAAAGAAGCGGACAAATGTGTGCGTGTTGTTTCCACCACTGCTCTTTTGGTTTCTCTTGAGGCAGACCAGTGATAATAGACCACTTAATTTCAGGTCCTGGTTCTCCCTTGCTATGGGATTTTTGTGCTTGGGTGACTGGAAGTGTAGGGGAGTACAACTCCACCAAGACTTACTGAAATTTTATGTGTATGTTTGATGTGAAAACAGTTTGAAATGGACACCTATGCTGGAGTCTCTTGTGGTTACCTCTTACTGTGTATCCATGATCAGGCCTACAGGCCTGTCAGTCTGGGGGGAAGGTTATGGAGCAGATCATCTTGAGTGCTCACACAGCACACATACAGGACAACCAGGTGA